GGGGAGCCTTTGAATTTTACAGTATTTGAAATCCAAATTACAAAAGTATGCAAGTTTCTTACGTTCCCTGTTCCTTTTGTAAATTCCGAAGCCACTCCAGGTCATTCTTCCATGCATGGTCATCTCCCAGCACTTAATGTTTCCAATAAAGTCTGTGTGGATTATGTTGTCTAGCACTGATCCAGTAATGGAACAAACATTTGTAATGGAAAGGTACATTTGAAATACATGCTACTTTTTCGAAGGCTTTCGTGGGCGGGACCTGATGGTTGTAGTTGGTTTTGCAGGCTGTTTGGCGTGTCCTGGAGGTTTTTCTTCCTAACGTTTCCCCAGTCTCTGTGGCCGGCATCTTCAGAGGACAGGAGTTAGAACTTCTGTCTGTGCCCTGGTGTAGTGTGTGGGATAGCTGAGTATTTGTACCTGTGGGCAGCTACTTTTTCTTTCATTCTTTAAATACAGCCAGTGAGTTATAAGGGCTGTGGTTACCAAGGAGAGGACAAAACTGGACATAGATGTCCATAAATATGTTTCCACTGATTTATACGGATAGATGCAAATATAAATTTTAGAAATGAGCAATTGTCTGATCAGTTCATCTGATTATGATGTTTATGTTTTGGGAGACAGCTGTCATGCTCATTATATCCAAACTTCAGACATTTTTCCTATAATATTATTGACACTAAAATTGTTTTTCCCCGTCTACTATTGAAATACCAGTCCAATGTCAACTTACTGATACTGTAGAAATCTGGATCAACCTACTGACACTTGGGATTCTGAAGATGCTGGGTGTCCATCTTCCCAAAGCTCATGGAGTAGGTTGTAATGTGCAATATTATTATGCTGCTGCCATTTTAAAGACGATGCTCTTACACTGAAGTAGAGGCCAGGAAGAGAACCTAGTGATGAAGAGGTGATGCTGGAAGTGTGAAATCACAGAAAAACAGAAAGATTTATGAGCTTTGCCTTTCCCTACAATTGCCAAGATTTTCTATCCCTCTTTTTATGGACACCTTTATGTGTTGAGTGTTTTGTAGAAACTGAAAACAATACTATCAGGAGGCTAGACTCTCTTACAAACCTAGACATTTAGAAGGTTCACCAAAGCAGAATGGTCAATACTGAGATTGAGCCTTCAAAAACTAACAGCCGCATCAGTGGAAGAGAATTGGTAGGTGTGGCGGTAAAGGAAAAGAAAATTTTGACAGGCAGCTATGGGGCAGTAGCAACACTGAAAAATGACACTGGTGGAAGACCTTTAATAGACAAAAGCAGGGATATTCAAGCTAACACTTGTTAGTACTGTGCAGAAGAAGGCAATGATAAACTATTTCTGAATATTCATACCTCAAAAATCCTATGATGGGACAATGCAAACAAAACAAGAAATAGTGCTGGAAGATGAAACTCCTAGGTCAGATGATGCTCAATTGGTCCTGGACGAAAAACTTTGGGAGCAATGGATCTGGGTAGGGAATGATGGAAAGTCAGTAAATCACTCCTATCAGCCCTCAGCTCCATCTCCAGGACTAGCTGCACAGTTTTCTGGCTTTAACTCCTTCTCTATCCCATTCTGAGGCTCCCAAAGGTTTTCTAGAATGGAATCCATGGGAAGCTTTTAATTTTTCCAAAACAGCTGGAGCATAGAATACTGTAAAGCAAACAATTTGTTCACTGGAAATACATGCTACAGACAACCTATCAAACAGTTGTTGTGGGTTTTTCGGGCTTCTTGGCCGTGTTCTGAAAGTGGTTCTTCCTAACTTTTCGCCAGTCTCTGTGGCCGGCATCTTCAGAGCACAGTTTGCTGTCCTCTAAAGGTGCTGGCCACAGAGACTGGCGAAACATTAGGAAGAACCACTTTCAGAACACGGCCAAGAAGCCCGAAAAACCCACAACAACCATTAGATCCAGGCCGTGAAAGCCTTGGCGAATACATTCAACCTATCAAACAATGGTATGCATGGCCAATGGCCAATATAGACATTAATTAGGCTGTATAATTGGAAGAAGAAGGTGAAGAAGCTCTGTCCTCTCTGCAAAAACCAGATCAGTAGAGGAGTGTAGTACTGGCCACAAACTAGTAGTATCAAAAAATTAGATTAAAGCTGAACAAAAATACTAAAATAGTCACAGAGAGGCCTCCCTCTCATAGGGGGGCACTCTCTCCTCTAAGGATGAGGTTTGCAGCTTGGGTGTATTTCTGGACCCAGTGTTATCAGTGGAGTTCCAGACAGCGTATGTGGTTCGCTCCACCTATTTCCACCTAAGGCAAATTGCCCAGCAATGTCTCTACCTTGACACTGCATTCCCTCACCATACTGGTCCACGTATTAGTACTCTCAAGATTAGACTACTGCAATGCTCTCTACATGGGGCTGCCTATGAGGCTGCTACAGAAACTTCAGCAGGACCAGAACATGGCGGCCAGGCTATTGAATGGTGTAAAAAAATGGCATCACATTTTGCCTACTCAGGTAGCTCTGCACTGATTACCTGTTTGTTTCCATGCCAACTTCAAGGTTGCTAACTTACAAAGCCCTAAACAGTTTGGGACCCCGATACCTGGCAGAGCGTCTCCTCCAATGTGATTTGCCCATCCTATATGATCTTCTCCGCCCAGGCAATTAAATGTATTGATCCCAAGAAAGGCCTGGAAAGAGAAGACTAGAAACCAGGCCTTCTTGGCAGTCACTCCCTACCTCTGGAACAACCTCCCACCCAAAATCCACTGGGCACCTTCACTGGGAACTTTTAAACCAGGGGTATCCAAACTTTCACCTTCCCTGGGCCACATTAGATAATGAAAAATTGGTTTGGACTGCACATACATTTGGTTTGGGCCACATGGGAGGAGGGGGCAGCCCTAGCCTTCCTCTGCAGTCCCACTTCAAGCGTGCTTACCGGCAGCTGCGATCTTAGACAGCAGAGGCTGCCAGCTTTGACTCCGGCGGCTTTATGGGGCCGGGAGGGGGTCCACCTATTGACGGGGACGGTGCAATGTCCCCTCCCCTTCCACTCCTTCCTTCCCTCTCTCCCCCTTTACTGTTGTGACATGCCCCGGCCACATTCCGGCCGCAAGCACCGGCAGTGTAACTCGGAACTTTGGAATTTCTTTAAAAATAAAAAATTGTACTGGGCTGCATTACGAGGTGACCTGGGCCTTATGCAGCCCTCGGGCCGCAGGTTGGACAAGCCTGTTTTAAACAATCACTAAAAACATGGCTTTTAGACATGTCTTCCCGGACCTTATAACATCCTAATACAGGGGTTGTTTTAACATTTATATTATTAGTCCCACCATCTTGCTTACGCCTCACTATACAGTAATTATTTTTAGTTAAATTTGTTAGTGTATATGTGTCTAATTTTGATTTACCTGTTTGATGTTATATTTATTTAAGGCCTGAACCGCCCAGAGTGGCCTTGGCAGCCAGATGAGCGGCATAGAAGTCAAATAAATAAATAAATAATGCTAAAATGCAGTATATTTTAAACAATATCCTGAAAGAGTTTAAAAAACATATAAAGGACATATTTGCCTTGCTACATTTAACTGATCATGGACCAGATGAACTGTGCTTTGGATCCAAAAATATTATAGAGGAAAAATGCAAAAAGACTGTTATTGTAATAGAAAAAAAAGGAAAAGCCACAAAGGCTGACTGATGAAACTCTTAAAATTGTAATGTTAGAGGAAAAGCAAAAGTAAAAGATGGCAGAACCCTTAGGTCAGGAACCTAAAAGGAACTTTTCAGTGACCTGCAATTAGAGGCAAAGATAACTATTGTAAAAAAAAAAATCACTGCAAAGAAATAGAATAGACCAACAAAAAGTGGAGAACCAGATAATGAAAGAAAGCTGGACAATGAAAGAGGTTGAGAAGGAAAAAAAATTATTTGAGATATAGTGCTGTAGAAGAGTTTCACACGTACCATGAAAGCCAGAAAGACAAATAAATGGGTTAGCAATCGGATCAAGCCTGAATTCTCGCTAGAAGCTAAAATGACCAAATTGAGGTTAATGTGTTTTGAACATACCATGAGAAGGAATGATTCGTGGGTGGGGGGGACAGTATTGCTAAGGAAAATGGAAGGAACTGGATAAGAAGACAACCAAGTATGGGATAGGTAACATACCATGAGAAGGAATGATTCGTGGGGAGGGGGGACAGTATTGCTAGAGA